ATACATATTATTGCTGTCAAAGTGGGGCCTCTTAAAATCATGGGCCATGCGTGTGGGCAGAAGAAGTCAATGGCTGACATATAGTTCTGAACACACTTGGCCAGGATGACAACACAGATCATCTGATACTCACTCATACTCTCAATTTTTCAACTGACATAAACCGTGACACTCTAGGTGGAAAGGACCTTCAGAACATTTGAGAAAATTCTTGTCTAGCGTGACTAAAATTATAGGAGCTTTTAAAATTTGAATCACAAACTAAGTAACTATATTTTTCCAAGAGGATCTTTCTTTCTCCTTCCAGAATAAAGAATCTCACCTTTACAAAGTTAAAAAAGCCACAGTAGTGGAATTTGAAAAAAAAAGTATTGTCTGTGGCATATTTCAAATCCAAGGCTACTCCTTTGGCCTTGGTAAATTTCGCCTCCCTGCAATGTATTGTGCAAAGCCCTCCAAACCAATTTGGAACACACAGGAGAGTCTCGCCTGAGGATCAAGTAAGCATTATAGCAATCATATTTTGTTAACCAATTTTTTGCTTATTCAAAGATGTAAGGATGTCATTTTCTCCAAATAGTTGAAGTTTTATAAGCTTCTTAAATCTGTATTTCTTAATATTTGCCTGAAAAAAGACATGCTTACTGTTTTTTTTTTTTTTAACATAATAGAATTAAGAATCCCACCTTAAGCATTTAGAATCTCATCAAGTTATGGTAAGCTTTCAGGATAAACTCATACAATACATGGCTGTTTTCTTTCCACTTATCTCATTGAAAACTTAATGTTTCTTTCATGACAAAGGGTTTTAGCATTTCCCTTTGTAATTCAAAAAATATTAATTTTCTTTATTAAGCACTGACTATAGTTTGGAGGTTAATACTTTTCAAACAAATAGAGTATATTTTGGTCATTTATTTTTCTTTGTATCATTACTAGTTTCATTAATACTCAGTAGGAAAAAAATCTTATGACTTAGTATAGTGTGGACTGCTAGGTCTTACTAGAAATTAACCTATACACAGAATATCTTAGAGAAATCTATAAAAGGTGAGATTTGTAAGAAGCGAGGAGGAAGGAGAATAAATGATTTTTACCTTAGGAGCAGAGGTGAGAGTACATGGGGATAAGGGAGGGGGAAATAAGTTGAGGGGGGCTAGAAATCCAGGTAATGGTACAGGTGGGGGGAAATAAAAAATAAAAAAACCCATCAGACTCCCCTCACAAATTCTAGAGGATTAGATCATACTAGAGAAGACACTGTAGAATTGGAATACGACCAAGTAGTAAGATAAAATTCTGCTCACAGATATGGTTTTCAAAATTATAATGCAACATAAGTATAATATTTTACCTAATAAATGTGGATGACTGAAGAGACAGTTGTGGCAGAGCAGAAAGAAAACTAAACTTACAGCCCGGTGTGTGAGATAATACGTCAAAGTACCACTGTACACTTTCAAGGAGTATGTATACATTAGCTATAATTACTTGTGTTACTGATCTGTCATCAAAACTTAAAGATATGTAAGTATTTAATCAGAACCAGTTTTGTTTGGGTTTTTTGGTTGGCTTTTCTTTTTTGGTCTTTGTGGTGCTGGAGACTGTACCCAGGGCCTTGCAAATACAAGGTAAGTACTCTACCACTGAGCTACACCCACAGCCCCTCAAACTGTTTAATGACAGTAACTTTAAAGCTAGGTTTCTCAGTCTCAGCTCTACTGATATTTTAGGCCAATAATAATTTGCTGTGGGAAGCTCAGCAGCATCCTTAACATTTACCCAATAGGGGCCAGTAGAACCACCCAAGTTAGTGACAAATGAGAAATGCTGCTGATCACTGCCAAACTGCCCTTGGCTGAGAACCACTGCTTTAAAGCACTGGGAAAAAAATCTAGAAATTATATTTATGGCTCTCCCACAAAACTGAGGATGAGAGACAGCCAAGATGAACAAGAGCTGAGATGTCCATCGTAGCAGCCAACTGTCACATATGCCTACTGTGCATGTGGCTAGTCAGGACTGCAGTGTGCTGTTAGTGTAAGATACACACTAAATTTCAAAGACTTAGTTACAAAACAGAACGCAAAATATTTCATAAGTTTTTCATACTGACTATATGTCCAAATGATAACATTTTGGCTATAGCAGGTTCAAATCAAATACATTATTAAAAATTAAATTCATCTATTTCATTTTATTTTTTTAAAAATGTGGTTACTAGAAAAGCTATAATTATATATGTGGCTTGTGTAATCATTCTATTGAACAGTGCTGAATTGAGGCAAAAGAAGAAAAAAAAAAGCTTCCTCCTTCATGCATGCTATCCATTCCTGGCAGGCTTTGATTGAAGAAATGAAACACAAAAGAGCTACCTTCAGTTTTCTCTTTACATTCTCTATATGATGATACCTAGTCTCACTGCTTCCATGAAATTACTACTCTTAGATAATCAATCTCCAAACTGGACCTGCAAACCTACATGTCCAACTATCACACTAACAATCCATTGTGGCTCTCCTAGAAAGCCCAAACTTAAAAGATCCTCACTCCCATAAAAACTCCTCTTCCAGAAGTCTTCATTTTAGTAAGTGGTATTATTGAGGTGAACACTGAAGCCCAGAAACTTGGAAGTCATCCATGAGTTCCCTCTTTTTCATCCCACCTGCAATCTCTCACAAAGTCCTCTTCATCTACTTCCTGAATATTTCTGGAATCCCACTGAATAGGGAAGGTCATCATGATCTCTCCCTGAATCAACTGCCCCTTCCCCTTTATCCTCTTATTACACCTGCCCTTCCTTCTAGAATATTATACTATATAAATAATGTAGTGTAGCTTTCCTTATTCATTGTTGTAACTCCAGTTCATTGACTCATGAATTAATGACTATGAATGAATGAAAAGGAGTACAAAGTAACTTGCTAAGAGGCTGGACTACAAGAATAATGGCTGAATTAGAATATGAGGCCCAGGAGAGCTTATGTCCAAATGCCAATGCTTATGTGCTGACCCAAGTCTTAGGATTCTAGAAATGGGGGGAAAATGGTTGGGAACCATGTACTCTGCACTCCCATCCTTAACAGATTTAGTTATCATACTGAAACTCAAATCAAAGTCTTTCTGGGTCAGGAAAGAGCTGCTGCAGGTACCTTGTCCAATACTCCAGTCCTGCACCAATCTGATGCCCAACAATTTCCGTCTCCAAAGCCCTATCTGCAGATTATCTATAGTTTCACAACTGCACAGTGAAAAGCAGCTAAAATGAATACAATTATGATGAAATGTACTACTTCTATAAGTAAGTCATTCTCCAATAACACAAGGTCAAAGCAAGTAGTCTCCTTTCGTTGTAGGTTCTTGACCCCCTTTCCTGCCTAAGCCATTCTTCTTCATTTCCTAGTCCATCACCGGTTTGAAGGGAGGTTGGGATAAACTGTGGCAGCACCTATCCTAACCAGTAAGTTATGGTTGCTAATTTGGAAGTTTAAAGACAGTCAATATTTTTACATATCTTAGTGGTGCTTAATGTATTCCAGATCTAAGCTACAGAAGAACTTGTAAAAGACTTTCCAGCTGGGGCTGGGGTCGTGGCTCAGTAGTAGAATGTTCACCTAGCATGCATGGGGCACTGGGTTCGATCCTCACATAAAAATAAAGTAAAGATATGTGTCCACCTAAAATTAAAAAAAAAAAAGACTTTCCAGCAATATGTGTATTTTCAGAAGAACATGTAACACAAAGGCAAAAACTAGACCCGTGATTTCATTCATCTTTCACCTACTGGTTCTCCTATAAGTGAGAGTGCAGTGTGTGGGAGGATTGGGTATGATGAAGTATGATGCACCAGACAGGGGTTAAGAAAGGATAGCATGTCAAAGCCAGGGTCAACCATAAGTCCAAGTGTACCATGGAAGGCTACACTTACGTAGCTGATTTTTTAAAAACTATCTTATCTAGAAACTATATAAAAGACAATTCTTTTGTAAGATGAGGAAAGGAGAATAGGTCTTTATGACTAAAGAAATGTTAGAAAACATAAATTTTTACTTGTAAGGCAGATGGATCAAAAGTTCAAGGTCAGCCTTGGCAATTTGGTGAGACTCTGTCTCAAAAGTAAAAATAAAAACAAGGGTAAAAATTGTTTTTTCTTCATTATTTTCCTTTTGTAGCTCAAAAAAGAAAACAAGAATAATTACCAGGTTCCCCCCACTTTAGGCAGAGGGATAAAGAGATTTAGTAATAAAGTGTTTTTCTAGACTAGAGATACTATTTCTAGAAATGACTCTTGAAGAATGCTAGAGAACTTATCAAAGACCATTTTCCCTCTTGATATCTTGTGGTGAATCTTCTCCTTATTTACAAAGTTCACTATCTCAGCAAACACATCTGTTTTTATTAACATGAGAGTGTAATAAAAGAGACTAGTGGACTTAGAAAAAAACAAACCAAAGATGCACTCCCCATTGTGCCACTTATGAGAATCAGGTGAATCAGCAATCTCTGTAAACCAAGCATATTCCATTTGGGGTGTGTGTGTGTGTGTGTGTAAACTTTATTCTTTTTTGGATAAAACAATAGCTATTCAGAATACCTGTGGTATTAAACCTTCATGGGGATGAAACAGTAAAGAAAAACATCAAAAAAGGTTTCTAGGTAAGGAATAATTAATAAAAGGCTAAGAACACTTTTCTAATTTCCCAACTACAAATGGGTCTTCACACTCATCTGAAAGGACTCTTCAGATATAGCTATATTATAATCTATAAAGAATGAAACTGGGAATAAAATAATCCAAACTGAGCAATTGCCAGGAATGTATAATTAACATAAAGAGTCAAACACACACAGACTATTGTCATTTGATGATTGATTGTATTAATAAAACAATTTTCTTCTTACTAGTCATTTTACCTCTGAATACCTAACATCCAAAGAGTAAACAAAGGTAAAGTAAAAAAATAAATTCAAAGGAGTATAAATGCAGCAAAAATACAAACCTAAAATGCCAATTTCAAGACCCGCCAGGTCTGTTTTAATTTTATCATAAATATCTTCTGATGTAAAGTCAACAGCAATGGTCCTTGTCTCCACTTTGAATTTTTCTTCTAGAAAAAAACAAAACACACACACAAATAAGGAAAGATAGGGAAAATTAATACATAGCAATTAAGATTAGAGCATTTGATAGCATTATTCTTTCATTCTCTTTTTTCCTCCCAATCTGATATGACATTTAGACCAGGATAATTTTAAGCAATCATGAGACCATCTAAAAGATGCTATACAGTCAACACAATAGTTCAGCAATTAAAAATTCCAGTGTCGTCACAGAGCCCGATGATGTTCCTTAATCAGTTCTCCTTTTATATATCAATAATGAAAACTACTTTTTAGACCCTTAGGTACAAATAATAAAACATGATTCATATCATAATGTTATATACGCTTTAAATATCACTGGCTTTGTGATTTTAATTGCAAATTGATGCTTTATAATTTCAAGAGGAAGTCTTTATGTCGTAAAATACCTTAAAGTGTGATATATTAAAACAAAAAGTCCATCTTATTAAAATGGAAATAAAATGAATATGACCTTATTGTAATTTTGGAGCTTGGTTAACAGTTAATAGCCAATACATTTTAAAACCACACAAAATACAGAGTAATAAATCTCTAAAATGACATGAGAAAGACCTCAGTGTTCTCCTTTGCACAGGACTATTAAAGTCCAAACAGAGCTGAAGGAAATAACAGCTTCAGAAATGAGACCCTAGAGAAACAAAAACTCATCTGAGGTAAGGTATACTGTTTACTTCTGCCTTCACAAGTCAGCCCCCTTGAAGAGAGAGAGTGGGCTTTGAGGTCACCCAGACATCGGTTCCAATTTTATTTCCAACTTATTTGCAAAACGACTTTAAGCAAGTCACATGTCCTTCTTGAACCTCAGCATCCTCTTGTGAAAATGAAAGTACCACCCCCAACTTAGAATGTGGGGCTGAAGTGATATCTGTGGACAAACAGAAGGAATCCCATAAACACGGGTCCCCCTTTCCCATCAATCCCCAGCCTCCCTCCCTACAAATGTTATTCTTTGAAACCTGCTGAAAATTCAAAAGATTTAATTTTAAAATCCTGCTTCCAAAAATAAATCTTTCTTCAGTCAAAGTCAATGTCAGCTCATCACAGAGTTTGCAGGATTAATCCTCATAGGAAGTATCCATTCTTGACCTAAATGGATTTATGTCTAAAACTAAAGAGCTGGTTCAGGAGAGACCGGATTCTTGGTTAGACTCAATGAAAAGTATTGACCCTAGGTAAAAATTCATGCATAAATTGAAGAAAAATCAACCAAGAAAATACCTTGTTTGGTGTTAAAGGTATTCTTCCTGTTGCAGTATATATGAGGTATGTGTGTTTACATAATGAAGAGTTAGGCACAGAGTTGTTATTTCATTAGAGCTCAGAGCACATCTTAATAGAAATGACTCAAGAGAACTTACCACCAGTAACTAAAGAACACTAAATCCATTACAGCTCAAGATTCACATGGGGGGACCCAAAACAAAAAGGTGAAGGATACTTTTTGCTGTATGTAAAAATTTATTCAAGTATAAAATAAGATAAATTGACTTATTTATTTTAAAAAACAAAGTATTTTTCTGTACTAGCGTTAGGTTCAGGAAAATCTCTCTGTAGTAATAAAAGTAATCCCACAATCCCTGTGTCAGATTCATTCTTTTAGAGCTTACAGGACTTGGTGAGTGTCCTTGTACTACTGTAGTCCTGTGCAGATATGCTTCTGAAAACAATTCAACAACACTCTTGGAAAGAATGTTATTTAATAATAAATGCCCATGGAAGCTTTCTTTATATTCACATTAGGACAAGTAAATGATTTCTGGAGTAAGTTTTTCGGAAGTTTAAAAATTTGAACTTATACATGGATTCCCCAGAGTCCTGTTCTGGCCCAGTCAACACTGCTTTTTTCTTCTTTACTTTTCTTCATTGTCTCTGACTACGGGCCTTTTCCTTTTTCAACATAGGTCAGATAATATCAGTCCCCTCCTCACAAACCATCTCACTCAGAGTAAGAGCCGCAGTCTTTGGTCTCAGCCTAACGCTTCTCGGATCCCATCTCCAACGGCTCCAGTTGCTCTCCAGTTCCAACAATGGTGGCTGCTCACACTCCTAAACACAGAATATGCTCCAAAGGCCCTTGGGGTGCTCACACCTACTATTCCCTGTCTGGAGTGCTCTTCTGCATCCCTTGTCTCTGTTGAGTCCTTGAGCAAATGCTACCTTCTCAGAGAAGCCTTGCTTGACCACCCATTTTGAAGATGCCTCTTCAGAAGAATCCAACGAGCTCCCCTCGTTTCCTTTCTGAGAATCATAATATGTACATGCTCTTGACGAGGCCCTTGGTGGGTTGTGAGGTTTTCATGACCTGACCCCACACCCACCATAAAGTTGTATGGGGCAAAAATAGCAGCACACATATGTAAGAATAGAAGAGGAACAGTTCTCTCTGGGCCCAGGCTATCAGACAAGAATTATGACAAGTACTCCAAAAGGCTGGCTTTTAGGATAAAATGGGTGGCTTCCTTAGGAATTAGGGGAGTGATTTAAGGGTACACATCTTTCCCCTTCCCACAGCCTACCACTCTGCCTCTTATTGTCCCAATAGAATGTCAGACTAATGGACAATGATCTGACTACACAAGGGCGTAGTAAGCACCAGACACACATGGTACAGAGTAAGCTGTACGGCCATCTTCACAGCCTTCCAAGCAAGGTTTTTCACAAGACCCAACCCAGCAACAGCTCCTGTAGGGAAGAATGAGCACTTCATCAAAGCCTTCAGAGTGGGTGCTTCTGGGTGTTCACATCCTTGCCTACCACAAAGGTCCAAAGAATGACATAGCCTCTGGGAAAGTCTTTTTCCCAGAGTAGAAGCAGTAATAAGATACAGTCAACACCCTACAGGTGTGCAGGATAAAGATACACAAACAGAATTTGGAGGCTTCAACAGACATAATATGAGCCACTCAAATGCTGGCAAGGAAACTTTTGTTGCCAAAACTGTGGAATGCGATCAGCCAGCAGTTTTGGGGTGTTATTCCTTTGGGAATTGCTTCACCCAAGAACCTGCCCTTCCAGTGGTGGGTCAATGACTTATCGCCGCGAGGATGCAAAGTCAATGGACAGCTTGTACCTTCCAGGTTCTGATTCCAGAAATAGAGTCTGTTTATTATCTTATTAATTTTAGGTATGAGTTTTAAGACAGGGTTTAATATTTCTAGTAGTGAAGTCTCCTTTATTGATCTTCTTTTATAAAAATTTACTGCTTTTTCTCACCTGTTTAGTCTGTTTCTATTGGGTCTGCATTAAGCACTTCAATTAAATTTGTGAAGAATGACAATGTGGCATTCCCTCTAGGCTCTCTGTTTATTCAAATGTTGTATAATTGTCTGACACTAAAATCTGTAGTTCTTAAAGACAATACAGAATTAACGAATCCATTGAGCTGGGGATGTAGCTCAGTGGTGGAGCCTCAAGCCATTCCATTACCTATAATCATGGATATTCTATTTCCACAGTCACATTGCTATTTTAGACTCAGAGTATTCTGAATTAGTTCAAAGAGTCTGCAATTGACAGGAAAGGAACTGTACCCACAAGTAGTCTCAAGATGCTGCTGAAACACCCCTAAATATTAAAACTAACACAGGTTTAGGTTCAAATCAATAGAGGTAATAAACACATTCAGAAGAGCATCATATTGCACCTCAGCCAGAATTACACAAGCAGTCAGTGTAGATAGGTAAATCAAGTCAGGTCCAATCAAGGAGGCCAATTTTGAGTGAGTCTGGGAAGTTGGAGACTGTCCCCTGAGGAATTGAAATGTGAATTCCTTCAGAGCCCTTCCTCCACCCTTATCAAGAACCTGCCCCTGCTCCAACCTGTTGCTAAGGTAACCTGTCCCAGGAACTGCCTGCCCCTCCACACCAGGGAGCTATAAGGTTGTTGATGTGTCCTACTCCATCCTGCCCTTCCCCCTTCAGCCCACTAGTTTCCCACCCTGGGCCCTCCCACCCAGCATTCCTGGGCCTAGTCACATAGGCAGGAAGGAGAAAGATAAAAGGGAAAGGCAGGAGAACAAAGGAAGCCTGGGACATATAAAAAGGGCAGAACACCTCCCTTCTTGGGATACCAGGATACCAGCTATGGCCCCCTTCTCCCTCACAGGAGAAGTCTGTGTTCCCCCTTTTTAAATAACCCTGCTTTATATGCTTGCCTCAGTGGGCTTCTCTAATGTTCAGACTTCAACATGTCACGGATAACCAGGGGTGTCAATATTCAACACACTTCTAGTTCTGGCCATCCCTTTTTTTTTCTTTTCACTTTGCTCAACAAACTGCACCCCCCCCCCCTTTTAAATTTAACAGTCTTCCTCTAAGACTATTCATAGACTTCGGAAAAACTTTCCTCAAATATCTCCCCTAAGTGACTGGGGATACTGTGAAAATGCCAGAAAACAAGTCTTATCTATATAAATTTGGGTATTATTTAAATTTTTCTAGTTTTATAAACCAAAAAGAGTATATTGATTCTCCTTTACCCTACCTCTGCTCCAAATAAACAGCCACTTCTCCTAAGTTTCAGGTTTCACCATTATAAAATTCTATTGCAGTCACCCTTCCCCACCTTGCCTATAATGTAACACTGTTTAAGATTCAAGTGGACAATTTTTTAATGATCTATTTCCTCCAAGGAAAAGCTCCTTAGTCTCTTGGGGACATTCCTGGAGACCTTTTATGTAACCCTATTAGGAGCCTGCCATAATGTATGAAATAAAGAGTCCCAATTTCCTAACAAACAGTGATCATTCTTTGTCATCTTTGTCACTCTTATATTTCCAGCACCTAGCACAATGCCTGGCATAAACCGAAGGCCTCTCTGCTAATAAATGAGTAAAAACATTTAGACCAATACAGCCGATTTATTAAAACCACCTTCTTGTAGTTGCTGAACTCCTCCCTTAGAAATAAAACCATATGCTGGCCAGGCGCAGTGGTGCACGCCTGTGATCCCAGCAGCTCAGGAG